GATTGTCCTTTTGGTACCACAATTCTAGTCACAATCCCTTCTGTTGAGAAAAAAATGCAGAACATTCGTTTTTTGCTGTTTTGTGCTGTCCTTGTGATTTGTGTTCTGCTTTCACCTTTACTTATCCAAACTTTATTAGCCTCTTTGCTTGAAACTGTAAAGTAGTGAAACCAAGATTCATCACCAGTGACTATGTTATTAAAACCCTTCTCCAAAATTTCTAAAAGCTGTTCAGAAAGTTCAACTCTTTTTTCCTTATTTTCTTCAGTTAAGACATGTGGGACCCATTTTGCACATACTTTTGAAACTTCCAATTCATTATGCAAAATATAATGAATTCTCTCAGTAGAAATACCCATTAATTCCTCTAATGTTTTAATTGATATATGTGGGTCTTCAACAATAAGTTCTTCAATTTCTGCAACATTTTTTGGGGTGACAATTTCTTTTGGGCATCCAGAACGTGAATCATCTTTAATGTTTTCATCACCACTTTCAAATGATTCAATCAAGCAATAAATACTACGAATACTTAGCGCTTTAGGTCCTTCAGCAACCTGCAATTCCATATGAATTTGATTCGCACTCTTACCATTTTCCAGCTTACAAAAATGTAGTAACATTGATGTTCACGATTAAAATTTTCCATTTGTTTTTTTAGTAAATTTTTAAATGTCAATAGCTTTATAATTAATGAACAAAATTTAATAATTTTTTTTTTTATTTAATAGACAAAAACGACTATTTTCATTTAAAAAAAATCTGTACAAAGTTACACATAAGATTGTAATTTTACAGGGCCAGTGACAAAACTTTTCAAATGCCCACGTAAAAGCAAATAAAACAAATATAAGCAAATAAAAGCAAATAAAACAAATAAAACAAATAAAACAAATAATAATTCAAATAAAAGCATATAAAGCAAAGCTTGTATTATGAATAGAAACTGTGCATTAATACTAAAATCAAAAAAAAAACATACAAATAGCTTTTATTACAAAATAATTAATTTTGTTTCTTTGGTGTTAATGATTGAATTGATCACACAAGCAGTAGTCAATTTAAACAGTATTGTTTTTAAAGAATTTATTCAAAATATTTATTTTAAATGTATAAAGTTTAATGATTTTTAATGTTGCAAAAATTTTTTTGATACATCAATCTCAGTCCATATTTATATACTTTAACGTTTCTTTATTTCTTTTTTTGATAATAATAAATTTATCCATTTGTTTATTTGTTTTAATAGATTCAAATAGATTTTATTAGAACAAAATGGTAGACTACAGCAAATTTCAGAGAATCAATAATGCAAAAACACACATAATAAAATAAGTATATATGGCTTGTAGGCTAGGTCCTGTAGAATATGCATGCAAAAATTTCATGTTTTCTGATTTTTGCTATTACTATGTCATTATTATTATTAAAAAAATTGAAATTCGATTATTTCAAAAAAAATAATTTATAGGGCCACAAACCACACAGTCAATCCATTTAAAATTAGTATTAGTGTTAGGTTTAACAAATTTGGTTTAATGGGGTGGATTTACTGTTTCTTTGGTTTAACAGGTTGACTACACAGTTGTGTATTTTATTATTTTAACTAAAATAAAAAAATCTATTTTACTGTTTTTAGAAATAAACAATAATTCTATCTAAATTTATTTGGATTTCCAATTAGACATTTTAAAAAAATATAAGATCATCATTAATGATATTCTCTTTTTAAATATATGTACATACCAATAATTAATTCAATTAAAACTATTTATTAGATTTGGTGGTGGTTGCTACACAGTGAGGGAAGGTATCAAGCAAGAATGTAAGACATTTGATTATAAAATTTTTTTTACTATATATGTAAATTTGAATTTTACTATCACTATAGATCTGCGGCGACTAGTAATTTTTTTTAATTGCTTTTTTAGAAATAAAAAATAACGTTTATATATAAATAACGACATTCTTATTTTTTTCCTTTTTAAAATATATATACCAATAATAATCACTCTTAATTCTATCCAATTAAATTCAAATAAAAATTCGAATATATTTGTAAAACTAAAGATAATATAATACATATATATAAGAAAGGTTTGTAGTTTTTTATGCAAACAATTTCCTTATTTGTATTTCTTTGGTCAAGATTGGCAAGTTTTTTCATAACGAACTGAACACAGACCTTCCATCCAAACTTAACTTAATGTTAAAAATTAAGTCAAATCCCCATTGATACAATGCAACATCAAAAATATACCATTTTTAATCAGCATTCAGGCCTTTCTATTATGTATTTAGACCCCACAAATAAAATCATGAAAGATTGGTTACAAAGTCCAAACAGAATCCCTAGATGTCATCAACTTGCATATTTTCTTAATAAGACACCAAATGTGAAATCCCTCTTTCCAAGGAATTTTTCTCTTTAATCCCAGTTGTTTGAATTTCAGTATAGACCCAACAGAACGTGATAAATATTTTATAGAAAGCAAATCAGAAAGTTGTGGTGCATTTTTCACCGAGTTAATATCAAGCTTAATTTACACCCTCCAACAGGAAAAACAGCAAATTCATTTCACTCCCTTTGGGATTTTATTATCAGCAAGTCACTACAAGTATTTGGAAAATATTCTAATGAAATGCCAATAATGGAATTTGGTTGTAAAAGTTCCAAATATACAACCACAGGTAGGTTCATTAAAATAATTAGCTTGATAAATAGAAATATATTATTACTAATGAAAGGTTTTATAGGTCAAAATCAACCAGATTTTGCCTTATTTATAAGAAACATTTGTGCTGTTTGTGGAGAAGAGAAAGGAGAAGTTGAAAAAGGAGATCCTGCTAGGGAATTGGTTGACAAATTCAATAATTGGGATTATGGAGACATTCCATATCTTTTTGGATACTATGCCAATGCTACTGCTGTTACCTTTTGTGTCCTGTATATTAGTGAAAAAAATCCCATTAATATTAACAGTCAAAAGATAAAGCATCCAGATATTTGTAGTGAGAAACTTGCAGAATTTGATTTAAATAGATTAACACAGATTCAAGCTAATGAATTTAATTAAAAATATGTGTAGGTTCTTTAATGTCTTGATTTTCAAATCTCTCATTAGAAATGTTAATTTACTTTATAAAACTTTAGGCCACATACTAGTCATCAGGAAAATGGGTACAAATATTATGCGTATATAATATGCAATTGCAGGGATTAAGCATATAATATATGTACAATTTGCATACATAAAAAAATACACGATTTGTATGCATATTATATGCTTAATCCCTGCAATTGTGTATTATATACGCATAATATTTGTACCCATTTTCCTGATGTACCTATGATCGTCAACATGTGTCCTTCAAGAGAATCACCAGATTTTCAAGTCATAATGCATGATGATGGAACTTGTATTGAAATTGGTTATGATATTAAAAAAATATTCCCTTCAGAAGCTAAAGTTAGTCATCTAAAAAATATTTATGGGTTTATAGATGTAAGTTTAAAAATATCTCCATTTCATTTTTTGTCTTTCAAATTTATATTTTAAAAATTATTTTTCACACACAGAATTACAAGATCAAATGTGTTGAAAAATTAATTTATTCTCATGAGAATGTTATTTACTTGGAGCCAAGGGGGGAGGAGAAGAAACCACAAAATCCCAATGAGTTACTAAAAGCATTGATTTGTGTATTAACTTGTTTAGAGGTATCATCATCTTAACTGATCTAGTTGATATATGTATTTTGTTTATTATTAATTAGACTATATGAAATTATATATATTTAATTAGGGCTTGCATAATATAAAACCTAGTCCAGTTATGCATAGAAATATACAATGGCCAAATATTATACAATATGGAAATCAATATATTTTGATTGACTTTGATTTTGCCAGCTTTTCTCCTTCAAATGAAAATTTACAAGACCTTAACCCAGATAATCATGCACCCGAAATGTTGATAGGAGCACACATGATATAACAGTTGATATCTGGGGTGTTGGATACTTGATTACTTCAAGTGGTATTAATAATGAATTACCTGATGAACTTTTATCACTTTCACAATCAATGTGTCAAAAGGATATAAATGCACGTCCAAATGCATCTGATACACTTAGAATTTTCAAAGGTTTTTTTGTGAAGGTAACTGATTTTTTTCATTAACCAATTAATTAATGTCACTATTTACTTTACCTAGAATATGATCTTGATAAGTTTTAACTTTACAGTGGTTTCCTAATGATGACTGGCTAAATCATTTTGATAACTAGAAAAGAATGAAATAGTTGATGTGAATTTAATATTTTTTTACTTGTCAAAGTGATAAATAATGCATTTAATTTTCCTTTCTTGTTCATAAAAGCTTTTTTAAAATAAAAATTACTTTTGCAAAGAATGATTGATATTTAATGAATTAAAATAAAACTACAAGGGTTATAGATATATGAAATGCATTAACAAAAGTAATGAATATAATAATGGTTCTAATGAATACCAAAAAGCAATTGGTTTTTGAAAAAGGTTGTGATTGCATTTGCTCTCTAAGAATTTCAAAGGAAGAATTTGCAAAATTACATGAATCATTTCAAGCCTGAATAAGATATATTTCTAATGGCTAAAACAATGGATGGTGGATCAATAAGCACAAGTAGACGCCTTAAAAAGAATTTTCTATAATACACTATTTTGCCAAAAAAACCTATCTCAATATGCTAGGAATTGGTAAAACTTATTTTGAAAATATTAGGAATTACCTGATAAACAATGACCTTATATCAAGAGTTCATGGCAATGTAAAAAGAATGCCTCAATGAAAAACTAAAATGGTGATTGATAAGTGCCAAAGAATTTCTGGAAAGTCTATCTATGGATTACCAAGCCCAGGAAGAGTGACAATAGAATAACTCAACCAGTTATATTTTTACCAGCCGAAATGAGTTGTAAAAATATTCTGGCTGGTCTGGAAGAGGATATTAATTTGGAGTCCTTGAAGTATGACGCCAACTAACTCCCCAGATTCAAATTATGAGTCCAAGAGCTGACTTGTGTGATACTTGCCAACATTTTCGAAATGGCTTACATTACAATGCTCACCAAGAGGAAGAAGCTAAAAAAGAATTACTAAAGAACATTCGTCCAAGGCAAAATCAGAAAAGAAATTATTATAATAAAATACCAAATTAGCAAAAGAACAAAGAAACCCGGTTAAACAAAATCATTCAAGCACTGGTGATTGAGCCTAAAATGTTCATGTACCACATTCAGATCTACAGATAAGTGAATGTCATAATATTATGTACAGCATCCGAGTGATAGCCAGCCATAATTAAAAGCCACAATGTTGTAATTAGGTCATAATGTCATAATATATATAGATTAAATGTAATATAATTCCCAAATATGTATGGCTGAGTTTGAATTAACTTTTGAGCTATGCTTGTCGATTAATTGCAAGCTTATATATTCAATGCTCGTTTTATGAATTTGATGCCTCTTTCTTGTACCTAAAAAGCTTTGGAGAATCTGTAAGCATACTTTTATGGTCACAATTAACAACAAGTAAAACGTAGCCCCATTATAAAGCTTTACTGAAGTTCCTTGTTTATTTACTTTTACTTTTCTTTGGTTGGTTAAATTCAGCCGTACGTTTGCAAAATACAACAAAGTGATGTGTGGTAATGACTTTGGTTAATAAAATGTCAGCACTTTATATCTGGCCAAACAATTTTAACAACTTACGTTTACACAAAATCAAAAATGTTTATGCTCAACAAAAACCAAAAATTAAACATTTGCTTTCTGACCAAAGCAAATAACCAAAACCGATTTACAAAACCTCAAAGTTTTTCTATTTGAATAAGGTTTATTCAAATTATTTGTTTTATTCGTTATGAATATTCAAATTACATTGAAAGTTTATTCGAATAAAACGAATAGTTCAAATAAGAACCTGTATTACGAATAGAAACTCTAGTTTTACACCATTTTGATAACTAAATAAACAATTAAACCCTACTGTTGAATTTCCGACTACAAAAGTGTTTTTTATTATTTTATTATTTAATTTGTAAAAATTTTTGTTACGGAAATGAATTAATTAACAACTTTCTGCCTCTATTCTTATGAGCAAGGCTTTGAAATGTTATTTTCTATGCATAATTTTGAACAAGTTACAATTCTTGGCACATGACTTCGAATTTTTTATCGCAAAGGCAACAACATCTTTTCCCTCACCAAGTAACTTGTGAGTTCTAATGGCCAGTGTTTAATCCAGTCTTTTTATCAAATAATTGCTTTGAAATATTTTCACACAGTTTCATTTTCTTTCAGGTGTTTCTTTTCACCAACTGGTTTACTTGGTCCATTCTTTCCAAGGCTTTTATTTCATTATTTTATCAATTGTTTGATTTATATTATAGAGTTTGTTGTATTTTTTATATATATAATGAGGAAAAAAAGTCTAATTAATAAGCCACAGATAAATTCAGTGGTAAAGGCAAGCATTTCTGTTAAATGGAGGGTCTTGAAAAGTATTATTATTATGATTTCTAAGAATATTTGGTGCATTTTGAAAACTTAGGCAAGGTGTCTGTCTGGGTTTCAGCAAAAGCGTGCTAAATGTAAATATTACAGTTATGAATTATATGGAGATGCTGCAATGTGTGAAGCACATTTTAAACATGTACTTGCAAATATCTTAGAATTTCTTAGCTCTAAGAATATAATAATAATAATAATAATAATAATTCTTACCATTACAATTAAAAAATCAACTCTTAAGCTATTTTATTGATAAAGTATCAATGAAAGAATTAAAAGTTTATTTGCAAGGCTCATTTATCAGTGTGGGTTTTTTCTTTCTTTATCAGAGTTAATAATACCAACTAAAAATTTACAGGAAAAAAGCCCTTTGTTTAAATTATCTAGGGGGAAAAAATTTTCACTACTTTACTTGATAATGTATATAAAGAAGTAAAACGAAGTTGATGCGTTGGTAGAAAAAGGCTAGATACTATAAATTTATCTTATACACATCTCTAAGTGTAACGTGATCTGGATTTAAAATTTTCTTTTGGGAATTCTGGGTACGTAGTACAGATGTTGGGTTCACCTCTAATGTGTAACGGCGTTTTTTATCATTTATTTTATTTTTTAATAATAATAATAAAATAATTCTACTTGGTTATAAACTGTCAGATTGCTCTTTAATATATAAATTTAGTATTTCTTTTGTCAATAAAGCTTCTTTGTTCGGAACAGGCAGAGCTTCTTCTGTCATCAAAATAAAAATCTTAAAAAATTTTGGTAAGTCATGTGATAAATTTTAAGATCCATTTTGTAAATAAATCCTTTTCGATATATCGAGATTCATTGTGTTGGAGGCGGTAGTGACATACAATAAGCCAGTTCTCATATTTTTTTGTCTGTTAGATCAAAAAATATCACATGTACACGTGGTACTAATAAACAAAACTTTAAAATAAGGTGTTCTCATTATATTATTTCTAATGAATCAAATTGGAAATAAATAAATTTATTTTATTTATTTGTACATAATTTTCATTATTCCGTTATTTTCATTATATTCTATTCTTTCATTCTTAAATTCTTGAAAAATTTTAGTTCAATAATAATAATTATAATAATGCATCAACAATTGTTGGAAGTTACAGAGTATGATGTTATTATTCTTGGAACTGGTTTGATAGAATCGATTCTTGCAGGGTAAGTTTTTTTGTTTCATATCGTTATTTTTTTATTTCTAAATCTAAAATTTTTTCGTTTTTTAGTGCTTTAGCAAAAATTGGAAAATCAGTTTTACATATGGATACAAATAATTATTATGGTGGAAGTTGGAATTCGCTTAATTTCAGAGAATTACTAGAATTAATAAATAGTTTACAAGGTTGTTTAAAAGCTTTAATATAAATTTATACTTTGAGAAAATATTTTTTAAAAAAAAATAATAATAAATAATCGTTTTAACACTTAAAGTCACATATTGTGTATATGTATATATATACAATCACTAATTAGGTTTAGATTCTGATTCAGATGAAAATACTCAAGAAAGTAAATATATTAATTACATATAACATTTATTGATTTTATTAAACTGTTTATTGTATTAATTAACTAACTAATTAATTAATTAGTTATTGAAGGAAAAAGAGCTTTAACCATTGATTTTATCAAAGCTCGACGACAAGCCTACTCATCTATTGAATATGAAATTTATTCTAGTATTCTTAATAAAAATAAGGCTTATAATAATGATAATAATAATAATTTCTTCAAAGAAATCAAAGAACAACAAGATGAAATAATACACCATGTTTCAAAAACCTTATCAAGCTTTGAACAAGTTGAGACATTGGCTTCCTTGCTTAAAGAATCAAGATTATATTATTTAGATTTGGCTCCTAAATTAGTTCCTTGTCGTGGTGAATTAGTCGAGCTACTAATAACTTCTGGTGTTGGAAGATATATTGAATTCAAAGCTTTAGATAAAACATATATTTATTCCGAGAAAGAAGATAATTTTGATAAGGTCACATTCATAATTATTTTAATATAATAATAATAATAATAATAATTTTTAAATTAATTATTAATTGAAATTGTAATTTGTACAGGTTCCTTGTTCGAAAGAAGACGTTTTCACTAGTCAAACAATACCTTTGATTGATAAACGAAAATTGATGAGGTTTTTATATTTTGCATTAGAATATGAAAATTCACCAGAAACATATGAAGGCAAGCTATCTTTTTATTTATTTATATGCGCGTGTATGCGTGTATGGTTATATGTATGCGTGTGTGTTTGATAGAGTCAATCAATCAATCAAAAAATTTGATTTGCCTAACATATATAAAGATACGAAAATAAAATAAATAAAATAGGTTATAGAGAGAAAACTTTTATCAGTTTTCTTCATGAAAAATTTCAAATTCAAGATAAATTGTTATCAGCAATATTGTATTCGATAGCTTTGATTCGAACAGAAGCTGATGTTGGTTAGTGTATATATAAATATATATAATTGATGGTTATAATTATTCAATTGAAAATTATATTAAAAACCCAACAACAATTATTTATACACAGTAAATACTTTAGAAGGTTTAGAGATGACTCATAGGTATTTGAAATCAATTGGTCGGTATGGAAATGCTGCTTTTTTGGTAGCACTTTATGGAGTTGGTAGTGAAATTGTTCAAGGATTTTGTCGGTAAGATTGTCGTCATCATCATCATTATTATTAGAGTGAATATATAGTGATTTTTATTTAATGGAATATCTTCTCCTGATGAAAAAATTTTCTTTAAAATATATATTTATAAATGTAGGGTTTGTGCTGTATATGGTGGAATATATATGCTTGATCATCCTGTAAAACATATTTTAATTGATGAGAATACAAAAAAATTTAACAGTTTAATTGATGTTAACGATCAACAACTCTCTTCGACCCTTTTAATCACATCAATTGACTATATCCCGATTAATATTATAGAAGAAGTTAAAGATAAATGGTATTTTTTTATAACTTTTTTTTTTTTTGCATTAAAAGCTTCTCTAATTATTTTATATGTTTCGATTTTATTTAGGGAGGTAACTTCTCGTGCTATTGTAATAATTGATGGTTATTTACATCAAGATTTTGGTGCCAATATGACTATTTTTCCACCAAATTCTGTTAATAATAATAAATATTCAATTACTGTTCTTCACCAATCATTTTTAACACAAACATGCCCCGAAAATAAATGTAAGTTGAAAAATATCAATGTTTGTATATGTATCTATATACATCCATAACCATTACTTTCAATATCATTATTTTAGGTGTATTACACTTATCAACTAAAGCTAATAAAAACAGTGCAAAAGAAGATTTATTTTGTGCTTTAGAAAAATTAATTAATATTACAAATAGTGTCAACAGAGGTAATTACCAAAAAAAAAAAAAATTACAACCATAATCATTACAGTGATTATCTAAAAATTAATTAAAATTATTAATATATATATATATTTGTATTTTGTAAAGATGATGATAATTCCAATAAACCAAGTCCATTATTCACATTATTTTATCAACATAAAAGTAGAACAGCCACATCATTCACATCCACATCATCATCATCATCACTACTACCTGACAATATTATTGTAACTGATGATCCTGATCCATCAATTGATTTTGAAGCAGCAACTATAAAAGCTAAACAAATATTTCATAAAATATGTCCTAATGAAGAATTTTTACCACATGGCCCAGATCCAGATGAAGAAGAATTCATTATTTAATAATAATCATAAATTATAATAAAAGGTTTTTTGATGATGATATTTTATGAATAATAAATACATTTTTATTTTATATAATTAATTAAAGTTTTCTAATGAAAATTTTTTATAAATGTGTGTGTGTCCTTACTAACCACACGAATGAATAATTAAAATAAATCCAACCTAAATGAGAAAAATACATAAAATCTTAATTAATAACAAAATTTAAAAAAAATTATTTATTCACATTCGAACAAACAAATAGATTTATATATAAAATTTTTGCCTTATTGAAGTGTTAATTTTTTTAATTGCATCTTTAATCTGACGTTTATTAGGAGCTTTTTTTTGTTGTTATTGTTGTTATCCTCCAATAAAACTATCAAATTTCATTTTTAATCGTTGGCGCAGAAAAATCAAAATTTTGAATCGGTGATTTTTTAATAAAATGACTACTACACTCCAAGGACCAAATAATTTTGCGGATGATGGTGGTGCAGTGATAGAACGAAAATTAGAAACTCAAAGTGAAAAATTGGTAATAGGAGATGTTAAACAATTAGAAAATTTTTATGAAATTGAAAGAACTGTAAAGTTTTTATTGAATGGCAATTATGAAAAGGTTAATAATATTTATTATTTATTATTTAAATTTTATACATATTCATTGACAAAAATTTGTTTTTTGTTTTACCGATAGATAGCCCTTCAATTTCCTGACAAATTATTGGCGGACTCTGTTGAAATTGCTACAATTATTCGAGAAAGAACTCAAAAAAAAGTGTTTATTCTTGCTGATACCTCTTATGGAAGGTAATTACTTTTTATCTATACTAGTAAATGTTGGTGATAAAAATAATTGTTATTTGCACTATTGATGACGATGATGGATTTTTATATATAGTTGTTGTGTGGATGAAGTCGCAGCACAACACGTAGATTCTGATGTGATTGTTCATTATGGTCATTCATGCTTAAGCCCGTGTGTATAATCCATACTTATTTATTTATGTACGTATGTGAAGAAACTCAAAATTAATTCTATTTAATTATTTAATTGTTTAATTATTATTTTTGTATTTTAGAACATCAAGGCTTCCTGTTATATATGTGTTTGGAAAAGAACCAATAGATGTAGATCATTGTCTAGAAGTATTTGATGAATTATTTGGCAACAATGGTGATGTTGACAACAGTAGTAATAATAATAAAAACATAATTATAATGTACGATGTGATTTATGCATATTGTATAGGTACTTATTATCATTATTTTAAAATTATTATATTTGACACTGATCATTAATTTATACGCTATCACTAATTCATTCATTCATTTTTAAAAAGATGATTTTATAAATAAATTAAAGATGACAGAGGAAAGGAGAGCCTGCACAAATAACATCATACAATCGTTTGTTGATAAAGATTCAGCAATAATAATAAATGAATCTGACAAAAACAATTCTTCTTCTTTTTTAGAAGAGAAAAAGATTACTAATTTTGTAACTAAAGGAAGATATTATAGTTTACCAAAAGATGTTAATATAGAAGATTGTTCGATTTTTTACATTGGTGGTGAGAGTACCACATTGTCAAATATAATAATAACACATAATAAGTGTAATGTATGAAAAAAAAGAATCCATATTGCATCCTTTATTATTATTATTATTATTATTATTAGAGAAAAATTAATTGAATTAAATTATTATTATTACTATCATCATCATCGTCATCAAAAGGTATATTCATATGATCCAAAGTTACGTAAAGGTCGACAAGAAAATCTACAAGTTAATAAGTCATTAATGAAGCGGTAAATATATTAAAATTATAATTATTTAAAAAATCTTTTTATTAATATTTGTTATCCGATTTTTTTTTTTTTTTTTTGATAGCTTTTATATGATACAAAGAGCAAAAGATGCAGATGTTATCGGAATAGTGGTAGGAACATTAGGTGTAGGTAAGAAGATAAAATTATATTAATTAATTATACGATACAATACAAACTATCTATCTAAAATTATTTGTTTATTTTTAGCTTCATATTTGGAGATTATATCACATCTTAAAAAATTGATAATAAATTCTGGAAAGAAATCATATACATTCGTGATGGGTAAACTGAATGTAGCGAAAATGGCCAATTTTATGGAAATAGATTGTTATGTGCTTGTGGCTTGTCCGGAGAACAGTTTAATTGATTCAAAAGTAATTATTAAAAGTCAAAGAAATATTATTTGGCTTTTAAAACAATTTCTTCTTTGATGATGATGAATGACGATGATGATGGGAATAATTGATTATATTTAGGAAAAAAATTTTTTATTAAAAATAAATAGGAATTTTATCGCCCTATCGTAACACCATTTGAATTGGAAATAGCTCTTGACCTGTAAGTTGTTATTATATTTATCAGATTCGAAAAGAGGATTTATTATCATCAATTAATGATTATATGCATATAAAATATATAGATCAAAGCAATGGACTGGACATTACATTACTGATTTTCAACAGCTTTTAACTGAAAAAGATTATGAAAAAGAATCTAAAAAAATCGATGACCGCGACAAAGTACAGCAAAACGAGGAGAGAAGTGATTATGACGACGATGAGCCACATTTTTCGTTAGTTACTGGACAATTGAAACAAGGACGTAAATATGGCAAAACAAATGCACCAGGTAATTTATTATTATTATTTATTTTTTAAAAGAAAATAAAAAATTTAATTTTTTCCTCTCTTTTAAATGATATATTTTTTTATAAAAAATTCATTAGAACTTAGAACGACGACAGATGTAACAATACGTAATAAAGATACTTCAATGTCCATTCTTTTGAATAGTGCTGGAGGTATTTTTATCAATGTTAAAAGAAATGACTCGTTAACTTTTATATATTTAAAAGAAGAATTTATTTATTTATTTTAATGTTTTTAAAATTTAGAATTTTTGAATTCACGGACTTTTAAAGGTTTGGAACAAAAAATTGGTGAAACTAAAGCAGAATTAGCCGAAGAGGGTAGAGCTGGTATTGCTAAAGGTTATAGTGATGAGAAAGATGTTTAAAAATGCTTTTTTTTGTGAAATTTTTATGAGAGGCTTGTAAAGTGTATTGATCGGCTGTTGTCAACTACTATAAATAGATCATTTGTGGGACATACATTTATATAAATATGATAAATAAGTACAAATTGTAAAGCGAGCGAGTTTTAAAATAAATTGTTTTATTTATTCTTCAGAAAACGAAAAAGCTTTTATATTTATAATTGAAAAAAAGAAATTTTTTTAATAATCTACAAATCTATTATTATTAGTTAGTTGGTTAGTTATGAATTCGTTGTTTAGAGCTTCTGATGGAAATACTGTTATTGTTGGTACTAAATCTACAAAATTTATTGCACTTGATCCTGCAACCAAAAAGTTGATAAAGTTATTTGATAATAATGAAGGAGATAATGAAGATGAATGTTCTGTTTGTCCTGTTTTACCTAAAGATGCTTTATATATTGGCATGAATGGTAAATATATTATAAAATATAAAAAGAATATTTATATATAATGTATAATAATAATAATAAAATAATAATAAATTTAGCATATAAAATACGTATTTTTGAAAATGGAATACCGAAACGAAATGTTACTTATACTGAATATATTCCACATAGCTATGACACAAGTATTGAATTAATACATAACACGAAACCATATAATAATGATTTATACATTGCATCTCCAAATGGTGATATCTTGTCAACTAATTCTTATTCTAGTAAGAAAGCTTTCTTTTTGTATTTATGATATTTTATATTTAATAAGCATGGTTTTAAATATGTATATATTTTAAAAACAAAAAGCTCAAAATGAATGGTATCGAGTACTTCGATCTCCTGTTGTTGGACTTTTTGATTCTTTTCCTTCTTCACCTGAATATATATCACCAGCACAGCCATCATCATTATTACCACCACCGTCATCATCAAACGAACTTTCAAAATTAAAAATGGACAATAATGATGATGAAACTTGTCAATATGGTTCATCATTATATCCAAATTGTTTAATTGGAAATAATAATAATATTTTTGATTATGACGATGATGATGATGATGATTATTTGATAAATAAAGAACATATCTTTAGGTTAGGCATTGAAGGTCCATCATCTCTCTCATCGTCATCATCTTCACCATCACCTTCATTAAAAAAAACCACAATTATTCAAGAAAATTATTCCTCTTCCGCTTCTTCCTCTCCTCTTTCAATAGATACAAATAACTCCATTATTAGTTTAACACATATTGGACTTTTATTATTTAGTATTATTTCAATGGTTTTTATTGGTATTATTTATTGGAATAAATATAATAAAAAAAATGGTGGACAACATTTTAATAAATTATCGTTGACTTCATTACTTAGAGCAATTGCACAAAAGCATAATAGTTTTGATAAAAGTTTTATTAATAATAATGGTATTAATAAGGTAAAATCCCATAAAAAGGAAGTTGGTAATAAAAAGAAAAAGAAAGGTAGTAAAAATCATCATAATAATAATACAAATCATAAGAAAGTTGAACTTAAAGATGACTTGAAAACAAATGGCACTACAACCTCTACTAGTCAACTTAACAAAGAAACAACAACAAATAATAATAATAATAATAACAATAGTCAAAATGTAGATGTAAATTATATTAATTTTCCCATTTCAACAATTGACAATAACGCATTATCTAATGTCGTCACTACTGCAGTTAATGGCGAGCTTAAATTAAATTCTTTGATAATTACAGATACTGTTTTAGGTAATTTTTATTTATTTATTTTATTTATTTTGAAAAAAATATTAAAATTGGAAAAAATAATTATTATTAAATGTACATATTATATATATATATATACATATATACATATTAGGTTATGGCAGTCATGGTACTATCGTTTATAAAGGAAATTTTGAAGGAAAAGAAGTAGCGGTGAAACGGTTATTACTTGATTTTTATGATATAGCACATCACGAAGTATCGTTACTTCAGGAAAGCGATGATCACCCAAATGTTATAAGATATTACTGCAAACAACAATGTGACCGTTTCTTATACATTGCACTGGAGCTTTGTCCTGCCTCTTTACATGATTTGATAGAAAGAGGTTCGACATTTGAACATGCACATCTGATAGAAACATTACACCCATCAAAAATTCTTTATCAAATTATTTCTGGTCTACATCATCTACATTCTATCAAATTAGTACATCGAGATATCAAACCACAAAATATTTTAATAACCACTTCAAAGCACAAGAAAAAAATAAAAAGAAAAGATGGAATTGTTTATGAACAATCGACAATCAGAGTACTGATTTCAGATTTTGGATTATGCAAAAAGTTGGAAGGAGATTCAAGTAGTTTTCACAATACCACAAATAATATTGGCGGTACAATTGGTTGGAGAGCGCCTGAATTATTATCACCATTATCATCACTATCATCATTATCAGACAACAACACAACAGCAGCAGATGCATGGACATCCACAGATCAGTTAAATTGCTCTTTTACTTCATCAGGATCATCAGATAGTTGTGATGATTGTCCACGTAGAATTACAAAAGCAATAGATATTTTCTCTGCGGGTTGCTTATTTTATTATGTGCTGTCCAGAGGAGATCATCCATTTGGAGATCGGTATTCCAGAGAAATAAATATATTGAAGGGAGTATATGATTTAAATAAATTGGATGATGTAGGAGAAAAAGGTATTGAGGCTAGAGATTTAATTGAAAGAATGATTGAACGTGATCCCCAAAAAAGGTAACTTTAATTATTATTATTGTGAATTATTAATACGAAACATTAAGTTAATAATTCCCGCAATATACGTATGAAGGCCAAACGCAGAAACAGTGATGACCCATCCATATTTTTGGTCATCGTCTAAACGTCTCGGATTTTTACAAGATGCGTCAGATAGGTTTGAAATAGAAGAAAGAGACCCACCATCACTGTTACTTCAACACCTTGAGCACGAAGCCAATAAAATAATAGGTCTGGATTGGTATAAACGTATGGATAAAGTTTTTGTGGAGAATCTTGGTAAATATAGAAAATATGATGGAGCTAAAGTAAGAGACTTATTACGAGCTTTAAGAAATAAGGTTTGTATATTCGTTCATTTGCATATTTATATAAATTTTATTTTAAATAAATAAATAAATAAAATAAATAATTTCAATTTCAATTTTTTTAGAAACATCATTATCAAGATCTTCCGGTTCATGTAAAAAGATCACTTGGAGAAATCCCAGATGGATTTCTTTTTTATTTCACTTCAAGATTCCCAAAGCTTATGCTACATGTTTATTATGTAATAGCTGAGTCGGAATATTTAAGGAATGAAAGTTTATTCAAACATTATTTTGAAATACCAGAAATATAAAGAACAATTTTTATAAAAATTCGAATTATATTCTTGATTTGGTTGCTTATTTGGTTTCAAGTAATACATTATTGTAAAATATTAATTTTTTTATTTTGGTTTCTATTTTTTTTTTTTTTTTGTAAATAAATTTTTATAAAAATTTATTTTAAACTTAATTTATATACATTAATAGAAGAAAAAAAAATAAATGTCATTTTTTTTATAATTTAAGTATATAATAATAATATTAATACAATACTTGATATATGCAGTAAAATTTACAAAAAATTAAAAGTCAATTATTTACTGAAAAAACTAGTAATGTTTGTTTGTATTGAATTTTGAATACTATGGTTGGCTCGGTCTAAAGACCTCCTATTTCTGCGCCACGTGGCCAAATTTCAAAAATAGCAATTTTGTAATTTGTTCAAAAATGCAATAAAAATTTTCGAAAATAGGACT